TGCTTCCTTGCTTTCCCTTGCATGAGGTCTGAGTTCTGGAAATCAGGGAAGTTCAGGTTTTATGGGCGAAATCAAGTGAACAGGATTTATGCCGTTGCCTCCAGCGGGGTCAGATTTCTACCTCCGATCCCAATTTTTGCAAGTTGAGCCCATCTCTGGTAAGAACAGGCTGTTTATTAACGTGGTCCTGGCTATTCACTGTGGCCCTAAAAAACAGATTAGTGGCCCTTGAACTGAAAATGAATGGCACAGGAGAGAAGATAGCTCAGAAGAGCAAGATTTGCCTGCTTTGAAGGACTGTACTTGTATTTTTAATTCATTCTTCAACTCTCGTTGTTATACATTTTTTAAAAAGCTACCCAAATGTGCTTTATTAATGTATTTATTCTGGAGGAATTTTGCATCACACATTACGGGGGCTGTAAGCTCTTTGGGGCAGAGGGGGTGGTCTCATGCATTTGCAGCGTGCTCTGTTTATCCTCTACATTGAAGAAAGTCTCCGCGTTGAAGGGGAACGTGCCCTTTCCCAAAATCAGTGTAAACAAAGCTCACTGATTTCAGGAACAGCTTGTGCTAAGCATATTTGATATGCATACAAGTAGTATCCACTGCTTAGACCATCTAGTACAATGCCTAAATACCCTTGTAGCGTGTCTGGCATCTGCAGTTGTTTCTTGGTCTAAAAGTAGGTCCGAGTCATAAGTCCAGCATCCCAACCATTTGGGGAATGTCTGTATCCTTTTCGATGGCATCCCCCCCAGGTAACTCTTGGCTATAAACCGTTCGTTAACAATTCAGTGATTACCAAATGAAGCGGTGTCAAGTTTGTGATTCAATATAGAAGAGCCATTCACACGCTAAATGCTTTGTGTAAATGGCATCTAATTGATAGTGCACTTAATACTTCTGATTAGAAACTGCTGTGGGGAAAGCCACTAATCAAGACTCGCACTTATTTATACATCATTTTGTTTTCAGCTGACACGCACGCAGCTTCACTAAGCACATGGTGTGGGTTTAGGGATGCTGTTTTAGACTTCAGAGGTGTCTGTGCCCAAGCAGGTGGAAAGGATGGCAGCTTTCATCTGAGCCCTCAGGGTCCAGCTGGCAGAGGGTATGTGGAAAGCTTTCTGAATCAGGTCATCTCTGCCGGCTCTGCCTCCACTTTCTGTCTGGACCATCAGGGAAGGCTGGGTCCTGGGCTGACATGTCCCTGCCTTGAGCAGACTTTCTGCCACTAAAAGCCCCCCATCAAAGTCCCCCCCCTCCTTAACCAAGGAAACCCAGAAAATAAATCTCTGCTTGTATCTGTTTCCCCATTTTATAGTACATACCAACCACATCTCTCCTCTGCTCTCACAACATGTACATACCAACCTTTCAGCCCTTGCCTGGAACAGCATTGCAATACTGCTGGGGGGAAAAAAAAATCTCTAAATTAGGATGTATGAAGCAGCAGTAATTCATACCGTCAGCGTAATATGCTGTTTTGAAATTGGAAGGGAAACCAGTTAATAAGCACTGTTGGAAAGATTAGGAATAAACAGTTTCAAATCTTTATGCATGCAAACAGCTCTGCCTGATTTGCAAAAGCCTTGGCTGAGATGCTAAACAAGAGCGTGGGGGCCACTGTGTTATTGTTCTCAGTCCTGAAGGAGCGATCCAGTCTCCTACAGGGAGGTTTTGGACCAGCAGAAGCGTTTGCAGCAGATGGCAATAACCTAGATATGTCTCTGGGATGGTAAGAGCTGCCCATCCTGAGTGACTGCAATAAAAGCTCGCACCCTCTTTCCTGGAGCAGTGGGAGGAAGGGGGTTGCTTTGTGGATCTAGCATGGGGCTGCAGTTCGGAGTTTCTTGCCCGAAATTTCTTGTTGCACCCCTTTGCAGCCCTGGGCAAGGCCAGCTGAGGACAGGGGCCTGCAGAGCAGGCATAATGTGGTGTTCAGGCTGCTCTGATTGAAGGAACGAAGGGACAGATCAGGGGAGAGAGGAGGTATGGCCAGGCTGAGATGCTGCACCAGGCAGTGGCTTTCAGGAGCTCTTGAAGAGAGAGACACAAGCAGCTTTCTCAGCTGGCACAGGCATTAACTCAGGGATAGATAAACGTGGCCACCGGAGCAAACAGGCTTTGATGTTGTCTCATCTCCCTCCTAGATCACACTGACGACCATCGGCTACGGGGACAAGTACCCACAGACCTGGAACGGGCGCCTCCTCGCTGCCACTTTCACCCTTATCGGGGTTTCCTTCTTTGCCCTCCCTGCTGTAAGTAAGCAGCTGAATATAACAAGCCTTATTGCTATCAGCCAACCTCGGGGGGCTTTGACCCCGGGGGGGCTGAAATCGTGCTGGTGCACGCCTCTCCAATTGCACGGGGTCATTATGTCTGAATGAATTGGGCCGGCTCCAAATTCAGGACGTTGTTCTGCCAGAATAACAAGCCTGTGAAAACTTTTGCCCAGCCTTTTTTCCCCACCGGCACCTGCACAGTCCAAAATTGTCTCCAACCAACAACCGAGTGACTTTTTTTCCACTCGCCGGGATTATTTTGATCCGGGTTTAAAGAGGGTGCTGCACAGATGTGCTTTTTTTTTTTTCCTGCCTGAGGATCCTGGGTTGGCTGCAGCGGGGAGGGAAGGGCTTGTGTTGTATTGCAGTGTTTGTGGGAAGGGGAGCTGGTTGCCCTCATGGCATGGCCTGTTGTGACATTTTAGAGGGGATGCTGTTGGGTAGGAAGTGAATGAATCGGAGGAGAAATGTGGTCGCGTGAGAGCTGCCACAAACACAGCTGCATAGCACAGGTCCAATGCATGTCCCATTTCTTTCTTCCAGGGCATTTTAGGTTCTGGGTTTGCTCTGAAGGTTCAGGAACAACATCGGCAAAAGCACTTTGAGAAGAGGCGAAACCCTGCAGCTGGCCTGATTCAGGTAAGCAAGCAGCAGCCAGGGACAGCCGCCCCCAGCACCGATGCTAGACCTGCATCGCATGGGCTCTCACACTGCTTGGGATCATTCGGTCTCATCCAGCAAAGAGGAGCCCTAGGAAGCATCTCCAGAGCAGTTTGGATGTTTGCACGTGTTATATATAAGGAACAACCCCTGGTTTTGAAGGCATGGGTGTTAAGAAGCCAGGTCTGGTTGGACAGCCCAAAGGCGATTGCATTCGGGGGTTAATTTGGGGAGAACTGTGTATACTCATGCAAGTGAGGGAATCTTAATGCAGCCAAAGTTGGCTCGGTGCAAGCAAGGACTGCATGCATCGCCTTCACCACGGGCTTCCAGCGCACCTCAGCTTCTCCTCCTCAGAAATGGTAATGGGTCGCTATGAAGTCCACTCTGGACTGGTCTGTCAGCCACACTCTGCCCAACCCATGGCTGACTCCATGGACAAGATCCTCAGCCCCCCTTTTATATTCTGCCCTACTTGTATAGCAGGCAGGGAGCCGGCATACTACATTGGGGTGAAGTGAAGATGCTCTGCCTGAACTTGTGGGGCAGTGGCCCCTCCAGGCCAATATAAATAGTTGAGGGATGGCAAATTGTCCTAATGCCACCATCTCCACCATCCCATCATCCTCAAATGAGATGGCATGCAGTCCCAGGTCTTCACCACTGACCGGCTAATGGGAAATGACCCACTTTATTCCTACGACCCATCCATCTCCCTCAGTATTTGACACTGCTACTAAACGGAGGAGCATTGGAAGTCGGCCCAATGCAAAACAGAGTCGTATGTGCGCTTGCCCTCTTGTTGTCAGACCCTCTTTATTAAATGTAGGATTGGAGCACCTGTGGCCCCATCGTCATGGCAGGCCTGATCTCATGCCATCATAGTCATTGGGACTTCACCCAAAGCCCAGCAATTCCCAAACGCCTATTTCTCCATAGAAAGGAGCTCTTACTTGGTCTTACACAGAAGCGTGCCTTGAAGGGGCAGGCAAAATGACAGCAAAAGTGAATCCATCAGTCCCACAGGCAGGTCTCCAGTCAGGAGCCTTTGTATTCAAGCCTTTCAGATACACTGGGTCACATTTTTTGCAAAAACTCTGGAGAAGGTGGAAAGGTGACAGTTCGAGGCAGTGTGGAAGGTGCCAGACAACAGCTGGCGACTGGTGTTGCTTAAAAATAAATGCAAGGAAACCAGCCATGGGATAGAAGCATATGCCGTCCGCCAAGCTGGGGAAGCAAAGTAACAAAATCCAGCCTCACTTTGTTAGCGCTAATGCAGACAAATTCATTACGGCAGTCTGTTTCCCCCCAAACTGGTTTTACGCAAGGAGAAATTTTCTATTGATATGATACGAGGCTGCATTCAGGAACACTTTTTTTTGCCAAGAACAGATGTCTGTGCATACGGTGTCTGGATCCACAGCTTAAAGATTTTGAAAGTAACATCACTTTAAAAAAAATGGGGGAAAAACCCTCAAAACATGCAAGCTAGTTAACTCTTTAGTGGCCTGTAACAGGCATTCGATGCATCATCTGTCAATCGCTGTAAGTCCTTAGTACCAGGAAAAGGCATTTCTGATCCGAAAGGTTAGGTGAGAGGAGTAACTTGGTGTCATCCTTGTTTTACTATACTCTAAGTCAAAAAAAGAAGTGAGTTTTGAGGTCCCTGAAAATATAGACCAATTACGGCCAAATTCTCCTCTCACCTCAAACCTCAACTTTCCTTGCTGCAACCTGAGCCCATTGCTCCTTGTTCTGTCATCTGTCCCCACTGAGAGCAGTTCAGCTCCATCCTCTTTGCAGCCCCCCTGCAGGGAGGTGAAGGCTGCTATTCAAGCCCCCTTGGTCTTCCCTTCTGCAGGCTGAATACACCCAATTCCCTCAGCCTCTCCTCACCAGTCAAGTGCCCCAACCCCTGAACCATTTTCATTGCCCTCCGCTGGACTCTCTCCAATGTGTCCACATCCTTTCTGCAGTCGGGGCCCACATCTGGACACAGGACTCCAGATGTGGCCTCCCCAGTGCCGAAGAGAGGGGAAGAGTCACTTCCCTCCATCTGCTGGCAACACTCCTACTAATAATCCATAATAATAAAGCAATAATAATGTGATTTTGCTTTATGCATACCATAACCAACCAAAAGCCAGGACAGCAGTTTCAAAGCTGGTACCATCATTTCTTTCAGATATTCTTGTTTCAAGTCCCCAAGTAAACCCTTCCTTCCACTATCAGCTGCCTCCAGTCTTGGTGGTCCTGGAGGGGAGGTGCTGCCTCTGGTTTCCTTGCTGTGAATCAGCGGGCAGGGGCAGGAGGGATCCTCAGGGCTGGTTTTCGCTCACCCACCCAGCTCCCTTCTCGCCCGCAGGCTGCTTGGAGGTTTTACGCCACCAACCTCTCTCGAACGGACCTGCGCTCCACCTGGCAGTACTATGAACGCACGGTCACCGTTCCCATGTACAGGTACCTGCTCTTCCAGCCCTTCCTCCCATTTCCCTTCAGACGCTGATGTTACCATCCAGCCCATTCAGTTTTTACATGAATTGAACCATTTTGTGGCTTTTTTTGGTTTTTTTTAATGCGCATTATAAACTCGCCAAGTGTATTTTTTTTTCCTTTTTTTGTTCTTTTTAATTATACATTTTGGTTTTGTTCTGGGTTGTATTGTCGTGCTTTATTTTAATTTCCACCGTATTAATTTTCTTCTTTCTTTGTGTCTCTGTGTTATTGTGTTCACCTTTATTTCTCTGCATCCGTTGTTAGTTGCATTGTGTTGTGACAGTTGCCCCGGCAGTGCGTGAAGACCTCCTCGAGAGCTGCCCTGGAAAGTAGGTAAATGCGTCTCTTGCCCTGCCCTGCCGGCGCTCGCTCCTGGGTGTGTTGTCATGTCGTCCTGATGGGAACCGAATTGTTCTTCTGCCTTTCAAGCTCTCACCCCTTGACCAGCCTTGACTTGCCCCCAGAGCGCAGCCGTTTTGTTCCCTTGAATAGCAATTGGCATTCACGCGGTGTGCAGCCATCTCCGGGTTCTCCGTGGCTGGCGGGGACAGCCAGGTGGACAGCCAAGGTGGTTTGACTGTAGTGGTTTGCAGATGCAAAGTGGACTGCGTGGCTCTCCCCCATGGTTTGCCTGAATTCAGGTCCTCCAGGCACATTCTCCCCTCCTGAAATTCGGAGCAGGCAATTGCTGGCGGTCGTGGGGAATCGGGTGGTCCGTGGAAGCCCAGGGGAGTTGGCATCACAGCTGCATTCCCTGCAAGTGGAAGCTTTTTTGGACTCCTGAAGTGCACTCTTGAGATCCCTGCTTGCCACAGGACAGCAGCGTCTGTCCATTTAAATCCAGCTCAGGCACAGTTTCAGCAGCCAGGCATATCCCAGCCTCAGCGAGTCCTGCTGGTTTCCTCTCAGAGGCAGAAAAGGCTTGTTTCCAAGCCATCGCCCGGGTATATTCTGTGTCATCTGTCCTGCCAGTGTGCATGTGGAGGGGCAGCTTCTCTACAGAGACGCAGGCTCCTCTCTGAGATGCATGAGAATAGGTTCATGGTCAAGGTGATATTTTTATTAGACCAACGAGATTTTTGCAAAAAAAAATTTTTTTAAGTATTTCATTGCAAGCTTTTGGGCACAAGCATCCTTCTTCGTATCAATCTGGATACCTGAGAATAGGTTTGATCACCCGGTTTCCCCCAGTGGCAGGCCAGTGGGAGAAAATCATTGTGGCTGCAGCAGCTTTAGCATCATTTACGTGTGAGCTCTTCTGATTTTCAAGGTAGCACTTTGCTGATGCCAGTGGAAGATAAATGGCAGGTGGAGTTATTTCCCTTTTTGGGGGGCTTTGCATTTGACCTGAAATACTGTAGAAGCCTCATAGGAAATCCCTGGGATGATGCCCAAGGCCCAGAAAAGGCAGAGCTCCCAAAAAGCAAGGCACCTTGTCCTCCCTGCCCTTTGCACACGGTGAAACGCTGTGCTGTCCCCCCCGCAGGCACCTTCCACAATATGGCTCTCTCATCGTGTGGGTTTCCCTTGCTGTTAAAAATAGAAAGCCCTGTCATTTTGCACATCCATGGCTCCGTGTCGCGTTGTGCGTCTGCAGTCAGCGTTGTGCGTCCCCTGTCAACGTTAATGTGCTCGCGCGGGTCTGCACGGGGCTCGCTGCAATGTTGTAGGCATCGGATGTGTGCGTGGTGCCAGAGGGGTTGGCTGACGGAGCCAGGCGTTGCCTTGTCGTTCTGTGTCGTGCACCGAGACAGCCCAGGGGTCCCTAATTTGCCCCCAGAGGGAATATCCTAGCGCAGTATGGTGTTGTGGCACTGCAGGTCTGTTATCTTAGCTGAACCACTACATGAAGAGATGTGCATTGTACCTCTGCATCTGTTTCTGCTCAGCCTAATCAGGCCTGTTAGGATCCTAGCCAGAATAATGTCTCCTGGTGTAAGTGTGGTGAACCCATGTGCAAAACCCAGCATCCAGTCTCTTAATCCATGTTAATTGACCCTCAACACTCACATCCTCATGGTCAGGGAAGTTTCCTACTGGTTTCATTCCCAGTGTTTGTCTATTTGGTTTTTATTTCCTTTGTTTAAAAATGTTTATGGACTCACTTTAGTATTTCATAGAGGAGATTGCTTCCCAACTGCATTCAACTCAGTCAAGAAATATCGTAGTATTTGACCTCGCTTCTCCCCACAACCTTTTGCCTGTAGCTCAGGATATGTAACTGGGACTGGGGTCAACTACTAGAGAGAAGGACTGCAAGTAGGATCCAAAATCCATTGTAACCCATGGAAAGACAGGTTTTCAGTGGGATTTGGATTGGGCCCTATGGCTGTTGGAAAGAATGAGCCTAGTTACACAGCCGGACGCAGAGTGAACCCTTTTTTAAGTGAATACTTGCTACATCTTTTAAGTTCTTGATTTCACATGGAACATAAAGCTAAAAGTCATGTCAGAAGTCAATTGGCCCATTCAATGAAGGCCATTTGGATGCATTAAACCAGAATGCAGTCCATGAAGGAGCAGGACCATCTTTACTAAAAGCCCGTAAAGGATGAAGGTCCTCCATGGCAGATGGGCACTGTGAGATGGACCTGTGTTCACTGGAAAGGCCTCGTCCCTAGTCCTGAACAGGCTGGCATGGAGGGTGTAGCTGGAGGTCAAAGGCTGTGGTACATTGGAATATGTGAGTTCATGAGCCATCGTACCCTTTGCAAATGGACGGCCACTATGCCCAAGGGCAGGGTGAAGCTGCAGGGCCAGCCCCTTGCACTTTCCTATGTCAGAGAGGGAGGATTTCTCTTCTCTTCCCTGTCACATTTTACCTGCAGAAACCTACGGTTTGATTATTATGCAGTACGCAGGTACACTGACTGGCACACCCCAGAGACATAGCCCCGTTACAAGAAAACCATGTTGTACCCGAATCATGCCAAGGCCCACAGAATGGGTCTGAATGTGAACGTCTCCAAATGGCAGATACACCTCCTATCTTTGTTTTACACCTCGGTAATGCTTCACAGGGGTCTATTATAGTCCAGCTTCCAAACATAGCCATGCTGCTGGTAAAATAAAGTCCCATGCACCACCCCAATGCTGAAGGGAGTGCATAGGGTCTGGAGGTTACGGAAACAGTATTGGGCATGGGAGAACAGGGGTTTTTCTTCAACTTTGTCTTTACTCCAGGTGGGGATTTTGCAAAAGTCACTTAGGGTCATCTCTTTGCAACAGAGTTCTCCTTCCTATAAGAGGGGATCATTCCACCTCCCTTCAGACAGGAGTTGGGGGGACTCAGAAATGGTTGTCAGCTGCTCTCTGTCCATCACGTAGACATGCGAAGCATGATTAGATACGTGCCCACGTGAAGCTTAATGAAAGAAAAACTCTGAACGAGGTCTTTTAACGCCATTGGGTAATGTGCCAGGTACACTCATTTTTTTGGGCTACATCCTCTAACTGATGTTCCATGCATGCATTAGCAGCTGTGCCAGGGAATGATTTGACACATGCGGGGTTCCCTCTCCAACGTACAGCCGCTCCTGTCAGCCTATCTTGAAATCTGCCAGGCCAAACTCACCAAAACTCCTAAAAAAATAAAATAAAAGTGTTAACTCTATGTTCTGGCTGCAACTCTCATCACGCACAGAGGCACAATATTCATCTGCCCTCTTCTACCCACCTCCCTAAGGGATTCCTGCGTTGTTTCAAGTTGGCCAATGCAACAAGGCATGTCAGCTGCCGATGTCATGTCACACGTGTGGGCACTGGGTTATGCCTGCCACAACACAACTGATGAAAAAGGCTGGTTTTGGAGGTGGGTAGGAGGACACGATGTTCTCCTCAGCTGGCAGGGGAGCAGATAATTTGAGGTCTCTTCTACCTTGGCCCAAAGCACGCAGGTTGGCATCGACACACCTTCGGCTCGCATAGTACTGCTTAATCTTCATGAACGGGCTGTCAGCAGGAGCCCTGTGACATGGGCTTACGTATCCCTTGATGTCATTCCAGAAAAGACATCCTGCTTTACACAAGGAAATGTGGCTGGATACCTCGGGGACATCCTGGTTCTCCGAAACATCATGCACTTCAGTGCAGTAGACCTAGCCCCACATCTCATATAGCTAAGACATGCAGGAGATCACTGGGTACACGCACATATTGGATCTGTAACATAAATACCTTGCATGGACACTTATATATGCATATGTACACACTTACCTGTCCTTAACTTTTGTACATTATTAACCAGTTCTTCTTCAAAGCACAGTGCCCTTCAGCACCACAAAGCATAACCGTGCCCTGATCTTAAAAACATCCTTATCTCTGGCATAGACCTTCTACATTTGTTGGGTTAAAAAAAATAAAAAAAAATCAATGGTCCCATAGCTGGATTTTTATATGTGAAGATCTGTTTTGGCAGTTGGCAGACCCAAAAGATGTGCTTCTGGAGAGCGACATCACTTACGATGTCAGTATTTCAAATTATGGCTGTCACCCGATTCCAGGGTTCTTACGATGTCAGTATTTCAAATTATGGCTGGCACCCGATTCCCGGGGTTTGCTGATAAAACTTCCAGGGGGAATGATTTTTTGCAGTGGACGTCTCTATGAGGTGGTCTTCCCCAGCTCCCCTTTGTTTTACCTGCCTTTGCCTTTTGAGCAAATTGCAAACCAGGTGTTAGTGGAGACGGGGCAGCCGAGGCCGCGGTGTTTAGTCCTACTGCAGCTAAGGAAGTGGAAGCCAATTTGGGTTTGCCAGCCACCTGTAAGCCCAGGTCAGAGTGCCCCTGTTGACTCGAATACACGGAGCTCACGTGCTAATTTTCTTTATTCTGTTTCTTTTACTGTTTTTCTTTCTCTTATCTCGTTGGTTTTCTTTGGTGAAAACACTTGACAAGCACGCAAACGCAAACGTACGGGGCCTCCAGGTATGAAGTGCATGTGAATCTGCCTCCTCCCGCTGTGTGTCATGTCACTCCTTGTTCTTCGTTTGGGACTGTAATTTGCTGAGCGCCTTTGCTGAGACCAAAGGTCAAATTTAAAAACCAATCCAAACCAAACCGGGCCCAAAGGAGATCCCCGCCAAGCTAATTCCATGCATCTTCATAAACAGCCTAGCTCTTTTGCACTCGTGTTGGGAAACTGCATCTAGATGACAGTCAAAGGAAGGACGAGAGGGGACCGTTTGGGTTGGTTTTCTTACAACGACTTGCTAAGGATTGTACACGTATCCTCAAATTCATGCGCCAGGAACCCGTCCCCTTTCTCTTCTGCTCCTTTTCTACACCCTTCTCTCATTTCCACTTTTCCCTTCCACTCTTTTCTCCTCTTTTTTCCACTCCTACATACCTGCCTCACTCCTTGTGTTAGCAGCCACAACTACCTCTAAAGAGTATTGCACCAAAATGATCGTCCTTGCTCAAACGGGGGCAGTCTGCCCTCTTTTTTGGAGGGCGCTTCCATCTCAGGAGGGTGTTTGAAGGTTGTCGGTGATTCATTCAGCGTCAGTCTTCCGTGCGAGTCGATGCTAGGGGCAAGCAAGCTATCTGTGATCAATAATTCATTCAGTGAATTTAACCTCTTGGGATCTCCCTGGCTGCAAGGATTTACAGTATATATATGGGAACCATAAAAATTATTATAAATCTTATTATCCCAGAGGCTGCAGAGCGTAGTGCATGTCCAAATCCGAGCAACACTACATTTGACAGGCATCGCGAGGGGTGATAAATATTTTAAGAAAGGCAAGTGTGATTTTCTATTTGTCGTCTGGTATCTTGAGGTCAGGGAGTCAGATTCTGTGCTCCGCGGTGACCGTTTTAGTCCAGATGAGCTGCACGGGGGTCATTGAAGTGCATCTGACTCCAGGCATGATGTTCAAGCCTGGCCTCCATTTTTGCAGTCACAAGCTTTTTAGTCACAGCCTAGGGCCATCGCGGTTCTGCTCCCGCAGCTAATCTACAGGCAACGCACCCAATAAATTGCAAGTACAGCCTTCAAAGTCTATCTCATTTTTACACAAGGTGGAAGGCTGGTTTGGGGGAAAAAAACAGGCCTTTTATCTGGTGTAAGGGAATGGAAAATCACTCTTTTTTTTTCTCCTGCTCCCATTACAATCAAGGGGAATATAACTGTGGGTTTCAGTGGGATCTGGAATAAGTCCTGTATAGTCTCTGGAAATCAGCTTTGCTGAAGCTAAGGGGAGTGTCGATGAAGCAACCTAATGCAGCTACTGGGACCAAGTTGCACTGAGCCTTAAGCCGGTCTTGGGTTTTGTGTCTGCGGTTATGGCTGCACCTGGCAACAGTGCCAAGAAAAGTGGACACAGGATCTGAATTAGGGTGCAGAACAGATTTGAGTATTTTTGCAAACACTAATTTCTTTTAAGGCAGCAGGACTTCCTAGGTGAATACAAGCTTTACGATTGGGCTCATAATACTCGGGTGACTGCAGCCTCTGTCCCACCAAGAGAAAGGCCCAATGCAAAGGAAGAACAACTGGGAGGGTTGGGAATTGGCTCCTCTTAGAAACTGGATTTGCTACAGCTCGGTCTGCCCTTTGTCCCATCTTCCTCCACGGGAAGCGGTCCCCACCCAGCTCTGACATCCCATCCCTCCTCCCACTCCTCCTCATCACCCTCACAATCTCTCTCTCACGTTATAACGGCCGCTTTACAAAGCAATTCACACCGACTCCATCGGTGGGTGTGTGCACGCACGTGCTGTGTCGTACAGCTGTCCCCCCTGTGTTGTGTTGTGTGATGGTATTGTGTTTCGGGGCATGAGCACCCTCCTGTCCCGGCTCTGAGACACGTCCGTATTATTTCTGCTGCCCTGTACCAGCAAAATTACGCTGCTTCTGCTGATGGCAGCAAACTCCTGAAGTCGGTGGTGGGTTTCTTGGTGCTGTAACGGCAAGAGCAGGTGTGTCCATTCAAGGAGAGGTATGAGGCTATGAAGTCCTGAGCCACATGTACAGACCAAACCTGGAGCAGGCAGGAATTTGAAGACTGCTGTGTTGAGTAGCATGAACTGTGTCTATTGCTGTATTATGTGGCTCTTCTTGGTAAGCTGTTTGTGTAACAGAAATGTGCTTCCTTTCGGCATGACTGAAACTTATGCTGGGAAGAGAGAGAGAGAAAATGGAAACCACCCCCTGGCTAAGGCTCCTTCCCCGAATCTTCCTGCAAAATGCAGCAGCACTCACTTCACAAATTGCCCTTTCGCCCAGGCTCAGATGGACAGAAATTGAGATGCAGCCTTTTAACATGAAACTCAGCTAAATCACTCTACAAAGCCCAGCAAGTTGCATTGCAGCTGCACTGCATTGCAGTTTCATGGCACTCTGCAAAGCCCACAGTTGCATTGCAATACACACTGATGCGGGTGTATTTGCCCTCGTTTTTTTAGCTTCCTTGCCCCATTCAGCAGCTGGTATTTGGAAGCCTTTCCCTTGACCCTGGCCCAGGGTCTGGCAACCATTTTCAGTGCTCAGCTATGGCAAAGGAGTCCACTGGGACTGTTTCCATGTCCTGGATCTGATTGAGCTGCTGACTGTCCAGGTCCCATTCAGTGTGTCAGTTGGATTCCTGCCAACTTGCTCATCCTTTTGGGGAAAGCAAAAAAAAACCATCCCCAGAGTTTTTACTGGATCTCCCGAAAGTAATCCACAAAGAGAGTAAGTCGCAGCGCTGCTGTTACAAATCGAGGGCATCTTGTGCTTGATTTGTGCTCAGCTGGAAGGATTTTGCAGAAACCTCCCAGCCAGCCTGTGGCAATAATGATTAAACCCTCACCCCATGGCATGACAACTTGAGTGAAGTCATGATGCCATCAGCTCCTCGGCTTCAGCGTGTGCTGTCCTTCAGGTGGGAGGTCACCTCCTGCTGATGCTTAGAAAAGAAATGTGTGTTCATCATCAGCAGAAGCCAAGGCTACATTTTGAAGCCTATTTTTTGGGCCGGCCTTTAGATTTCCAAGCTAAGGATTTGGGAATCCTTCATGGGCCAAATTACCTTTATATGCCAATGGATAATTGTGCCTCTACCTGTGGATTTTGCAAAACCGATGTCGTTTTTCAACTGTACGTGTTCGGTTAAGGGCGATCGCAGAAGATGATTTCACGATCCCGACAAACATCGTGTGCACCATTAGCTCTTGCCTTATTCTGTGAGAAATGCAAAAATCTGGAACTCTGGGTTCAGAAATGATCCTTTTTTTATTATGCTAACTAGGAAATCGCAAAAAAATATATCTTTTTTCTGTGAGAGGTGCTCATTCATCTTTCTCATTCCCCGTTATCTGGGAAGCACTGGTGATCCCAGTCTATGCAGAAAGTCCAAGTGCTCGTCATTCTTTCCCTCTTGCAATGAGGATGGTCGAGCTCTGCTCCTACCCATAGCAAACTTAGACTCTCCTTCACCCACCGGTCATATAGGGTCCAGTTTGGGATCTGAATGCTGCAAGTTCATATCCCAAATGTAGACAGAGGCTGCAGATATAAGAAATACCTTTGGGGTCTTGCTCTTCTTGCTTGATGGAGCACCTGAACCAGAACAGATGGGGAGAAGGGCTGCCTCGGTTGCTGCTCAGCCCCCTCCCCTTCCTTGCTGGCTCTGCAGCATCAGATCGCAGCCGTTCGATGCGAGCGGCATGTTTGTCTGGAGCATGAACAAAGGAGACGGAGGCACTCTGCGGAGGAGGGCGTTCAGGCGAAGCAGCTCCTATGGAGGAGCATAAATGCCTCACTCTGCTGCTTTCAGAGCCCAGGAGATCCCAACGGGCGTCTCCCAGCTGTGAGCAGCGACCCAGGCCCATTTGCTGCTATGAGCAAGGGTGTAACTATTTAAGACATCTCCCTTGAAAAGGCTGCCGATGCAACGGCCCAGCTAAACCGAATGAAACAGCTCAACCGAAGGAAGTGTGTGGCATGCTCCTGGAGCAGGAGAGAGTAGCTCTCCTGAATGCACCAGCCTCTGGTCTCCTTGCAGAGCCTGACTCTGGAAATTAAGCACCCCCCCAGCACAGGGACAGGGATTTTGGGGCTGACTTCACAGCCTAAAATGGACTGACAAAGCTTGGGAAGACAGTGGCAGTACGATGAGCCTTGTCACCCCTTCCACCTGAACGTCTAGACCCTGAGCAGGTTTTTAAGCGGATCCTGGTCTTCCCAGCTAAATGTGGCTGTTGTCAGGGAAAAGACAGGAGGCATCTCTGACATCTCTGATTCACTTCCCCGTCAGCTGGGAACTCAACTGTGAATATCACTATCAAATATTGATAGAGCCACGTCCCGACCCCTCCTGGTTTAATGGAGCAATACTGCGGAGCGTGATGGTACTCTCAGTGCCCTGCACCGTTCTCGAACGTCTTTCCTCCTCCTCCAAAAGCCAGGAATAAAGGGGGGCAGCACAGTTAATACCCGCTGTGCCATTTCCACCCCATGGGTTTTGCATCGGGATGAACATAGGGAGATAGGTGGGTCATTTCAGGGAGGTAGGTGGGTCATTTCTTTAAGCAGTGATCGGGGCAATTAGGGTCAGCCTTTTTTTGTCCGGGGGTTTTCCATCATGAGCATGGGGGAAACCTTGGCTGCGTGCTAAGGTAGAAGGCAGCCCAGCCCCAACTCAAATCTGCACTGTGCATTTTGCTTGGGGAAGCTTAAGAAAGCGCCTCTGGCTCCCTGCAGTTCTCAGGGCCCCTAGTCAGCCAGGAAAATCACGTTGGAGGTGTTATCCCTTCCTCCCCTGATCCCACCCCAGCTCCCAGCAGGGTCGTGCATGTGGGAGCCCTGGATCGTGTGCACTGACTTCTTCTGCACCCCCAAGACTTGGGGCACGACGTGTCACTTAATGCACAGCCCGAGCCCTGGCCTCCAAACAAAGCAGGGCCAAAAGCTCAACTGCAGGCAGTAAACAGCTGCTGCCCCAAACAGCTGTGCTCAGAAACCCTGGCTGCTGCTTGTCTTCTGGGGGGTTAGAGCTACAGCAATATTTCTCTCTCTCTCTCCCTTCCCCTTTGTTCCCTGCCTTAGGGAACTACAAGCACTCAGGTCCCTGGACATCCTCTCCCCATGAGATTTGCAGGCCATGAGACAGATTACACTGGTTTAAAAGTGTGGGGCAGCGGGTGGAGGGGACGTTGCTGGGTGGTCTCGGCCTGAATGTCATTATTAATTGTCCTCGTTCTCTTGCTTTAGACTCATCCCGCCTCTGAACCAGCTGGAACTGCTGAGGAACCTGAAGAGCAAATCGGGATTGACTTTCAGGTTAGCAACATTGCTAGGACAGCTCTGAACCCACCTGTTTGGAGAACTGTCCCTTTGCTTTCTTTCGTATGCTGACAGCTCCAGAGAATTTCGGTGTATCTGGATGCTAGTACCAAATGGGGTCACACAGGGACCCCCGCGCTGCATCCCTGTCCTCGTGTCAGCTGCTTGCACATTGTTTTCCCAAGTCCTTCCCAACATCTCCTCTTTGGTGTTTGCTGGGGATGCAGGCGGCAGTCGAAAGCTGCATATCTCTTCAGCCGTGAGCTGATCCCTTGAGGATATGTCTATACTCTGCAGACCTCTGCACTCCTGGAAAGCGTTGCGTTCAACCTTGCCCTGCATATCTGCTTCTGCTTTCATTCCTCCAACCCAGATACAGGGGAGTGAAGCCATGTCCAGACTAGCAATAGGTACCTCCAGAAAAGCTTTTGCCCCCTCAGATCTGGGTTTCATGTGTGTGTGTGAGGGGGAGCAGGTAGCGGGGCATGTTGGAGACCTGTGCTTCCCCAGACTGGAGGGGAGGCGATGCACACAGATCCTTACTCAATGTAGAGACCACAAACGGGGCCTGATTGTTCTTTGACACATCCACTTCCCATCCACTTCAGTGGATTTACTCCTGGTTTCCACCCCTCTGAGGATAGGAACAGACACTGTGTTGCCCTGGAGCAAGTTTATCCCAGAATAAAGTTTATCCCAGGATTGATGCACACACACACACACACACATCGTCCTTCCAATCAGGGTTTGGCGAGTGGCTGAAAGCACCCACACTTCAGTGATACAATCCCAGGATGATGGTTCAGACATATTTTGCAATGTCCTGGGATAAATGATTAGCCTTTTCTATCCTGTGAACCTTTTTAGGGCTTGTCCCAGGACAATCGACAGGGACATCTGTAAAGACTGTATTTTGCTAGCCAGACCGAGCAAAGAGCTGGAGAGCTTTGGGCTTTGAGGGAATGCATCACAATTGATATAATTGATAAAGCCTCTCCTGATTAACAAGTCTGACTAACGTATTTGATTGTGGAGGTATTTGATCCCTGGTTTGGGCCTGGCTTTTAGCTTGCTGATAAGTAGCAATGGGGGCTTGGGACTGTGCCTATGCCTGTGCTATATTCCCCAGCCCCTAGATTATGTCTGCTTGACCAGGGAAATTGGATGGGGCTTTCTTCAAAGCTCATTTCATGCCATTCTTCAGTTGTTTGTAATGGTCACTACTGAGTATCCAAAGGTCCAAGGGGTGAGGGTCAGACCTGCCCATCCACCAGCATTTGGAGAAGCTGGATCCAGAGTCCCTGTGCAAACCCCTCCTCTGGATCTCATCTTGAACGTCTCCAATGGATCCAGGGCTCTGGATCAGGCACATCCCTACTCAGAGGGACAGAAGTCCTTCCTCCTTTCCTGAGCTGCATCTGCAGCACGTGCAGCCCCCGGTGACGTGGGTAGGAGAGGCTGGGCTCAGAAACAATTGAGACCCTAGCACAGAATAGCCAAGTTACCACCAGGCCAATTTTGATGTGTAGAGGGAGGAGCTCCCACCCCCACGTCTGCAGGGCAGAGCAATGCACAAGGCAAGAGGAGCCTCGGGAAGGACATGTCGTATGTCAGCTCCACGCCTAAGGGGGTGAAAGGAAAGTTTGTGGAAGGGCATGAATGTCCTGAGCATGAGTCCAAACCGTTTGCCTCAAAGGCACCACGGGAAGGAAGGCCCAACAGAAACCCTCATGCCAGTCCCATGGCTGTGGGGCTTTGTAGCGATCTGCACGGCCACAGTTCAACCCTCTCCATCTCGTGCGTCTCCTCCAAGGTTTTGTGAGTCTACAGCTCCCTCCCTACCCAGCCCTGAGCCCCACAAGCAAGTGCTCCCTGCTCTCCCTCCCATCCTCCTCACTTAGCTGTACTGTTTGGTACTGTCCTTTCGTTATGTTTTAACGGTGAATGCAAGAGCATCCTTCCCCACCTGACTCCATGCTAATGTACTATTGCTTCTGTTTAAAGGAAAGAGCAGCAGCCTGAGCCATCGCCAAGGTCTGTATCACTGCCAACATGCCATTCCCATGCTTTACGTGTATATGTGCGTGTACCGTGTGTGTGATGCCATTAAAACAAATGCTGTAGGTATTATGTGCTTGGTCTCTGCTCTGGGATATGTCTGTGTACCATGTATATATGTAACATTGGGCCTTAAATCATATTTTTCTTCTTTCCAGCGTACCTTGGCTATATTTTTGTAGCTATGTGGATGATGAGTCTATAAGGGCTATGGTGGTATCAAATACGGTGACAAATTTGCTCTCAGAAGCAGGTGGATCAGTTCTGGGTATCTAGCAGATCTTTGTCCAGCACACATGAAAAAGGGGATTGTTTTATGCCTCTGTTTCCTCTGCTTGTTGCCAAAGTCAGGGAGCTGAAATAATAAAGACTGGATTGTAATGCTTCCTGCTTCGGTTCCCCTTTATCCTTCAGCACCCAAGACCCCACACCCTGTCCCTGCCTTTTTGTTCAATCCCTGTAGCCACAAAGCAAAGCATGCTCAGCCAGGTATCTTCAGCCAGGGCATTGTCTTAGGACAGTGGTTTGCAACCTTTTTTCATTTGCAGACCCCTAAACAATTTTGAATGGAGATGCGCGCCCCTTTGAATTGTAAGTGTGGGTATTCACATGCTTTTGAAAACCACTGTCTTATGAAAAATGCCCTGCCCTCTGCTTTGGGGGTATGAGCAAAGTCCTGTAGTGTGCAGGGGCTGTCCTTTGGCAGCAGCTTCAAATGCCTCCTGACATACATCCCTTTAGCTCTTCTTGCACAGCCAGTTCCTGATTATACACTCCGTATTTGCTGTGGACCAAACCGCATTGTCTTTAAACACT